ATGAGTGTTCCCCTTTCCCCACATCCCCTCCAACATTTGGTATCATTTGTTCTCTTGATCTTAGCCAGTCTGACTGGGGTAAGAGGTGGGGGAGGTGGGAGGGTGAATGAGGCTGGGGGAATCAAGGCAAGGAGGGTGCGATCGACTTACCCCAGAGAGAGGCCTGCGGGTCAGAGAGAGGCCTGCGGGTCGTGCAGGCCCAGGGAAGCAGAGGGAGGTGAGCGGTTTGTTTGTTTTTGAGACAGGTTCTCACTATGGAGGCCACACAGTGGCCTTCAATCATCCTGCCCAAGCCTCCAAGTGCTGGGATTATAGGTGTGTACCACCATTTCCCACCAGTGTTATCACATATAAACCAGCAAGTCTTCAGGCAACCTTTAATGGAGAAGGAGGCTTGAGAGGTTTAGTGTGAAGGGCGTTAGACAAGTGGCAGGACCTGGATTCAGACTCAGAACCTGACTGTGGAGTCTTTACTGTGGAGTATGGTACCACGGCTGCACCCTCACCAGCCACACTGTGACCGAGAACCTTTACCACATCCCAGAATCCTCCTAAGATTTGCTCACGTGGTCCTCCGATGTCTGCTCACCCTTAGCCATGCCCCTGATTCTTTGCTTTGATTTTTCTGTAGCTGAGTCCTTTTTTGATGTAATCTCTCTCTCTCTCTCTCTCTCTCTCTCTCTCTCTGTCTCTCTCTCTGTCTCTATATGTTTATACTTGATGGGCTTTCTTCTTGTTACAAAGATACTATGGCTATGTGAGACTTTTTTAAAAGAAGGAATGACAGCCATGTTAGTTAGCACTTTGTTCCTCTTGGGCGTATTTCCATCCTCATACTTAAACAGGAAATTAGCATTTTGCGGATTATAACTTGTAGTTAAATAATGACTCTGTTCCACTGTGTCACTAAATATGTCCTGCAGCACCAGGTTTTTCTTTTTTGTTTGGTTGGTTGGTTTTGAGGGGGTTTTTGTTGTTGAGGTTGTTGTTGTTGTTTGGTTTTTTTTTTGAGACAGTCTCATTGTAGCTCTAGCTGGCCTGGAACTCATTATGTAGATCAGGTTGGCCTTGAACTCACAGAGATTCACCTACCTTTGCCACCAGAGTGCTGCTGTTAAAGGCATGTTCCACCACACCAGGTTTGCAGCATCGGTTTCGAGGACAGATCTCAGCCCTACGTAATTCCCTCATTGGTTTCATTTCAGATCATCACAGGGGAATTCTACCGGATCTATTACCTGAAGGAGAAGTCCCGGTCCACCATTCAGAACCCCTATGTAGCCGCTCTCTATAAGCAAGTGGGCTGCTTTCTCTTCGGCTGTGCTATCAGCCAGTCCTTCACGGACATTGCTAAAGTGTCCATTGGGCGCCTGCGGCCTCACTTCCTCAGTGTCTGCAACCCTGATTTTAGTCAGATCAACTGCTCTGAAGGCTACATTCAGAACTACAGGTGCAGAGGCGAAGACAGCAAAGTCCAGGAGGCCAGGTAAGACAGTACCCACCTCCGACCACAGTGTGTACTCCTTTGCACAGTACGGCTCAGTGAGCCCCTGCTGGTGCTAGGCTCTGGTGTAAAGGGGGCAGAGGGACTAGTACCTATTCTTAAAGAACTTGTAACCAAATGATTGACAGATATGTAAAGAGATCATTATGGTGTAGCAGTGGTGAGCCCATTCATTCATATTCTTTTGTTTGTTTATGTATGCCTGCTATGTTCCAGGCATGAGTCCAAAGCACTACCAAGGATGCAAAAATGAACAAGACTCAGGGCTTGCTCTCAAGGTCATAGACTGGGAAGGGCAGACAGATGAGCTAATACTGGGGATGTAAATATGGCCCTTTCATGGTCCTCTCTTGCTCTTGCAGGAAGTCCTTCTTCTCTGGCCATGCCTCCTTCTCAATGTTCTCTATGCTGTATCTGGTGGTAAGTACCTCCCCTCTGACGGGAGCGGAGCCCAATCCCAGTTTGAATCCCTTGGCATGGTTAGGGGCATACTTTACTGTGAAATCCTTAAAAAAGAACTTAGCTAGAAAATCAGTCTACACTCAGACCTCACCACTGCCTTACCAGAATGGCTTCCACCTCTCAGCTTTTTCCATTTTTCTGATTAAAAATACTGTTCGCCATGCTGCTTGATAAGGATTATGTATCCATTTTGAAATTATAAAATAATAGAAGATATTCACAAAATGATATCTTATGGTAGAAGCACTGCTTCCTGAAAACCCATGGACTCACTGGGTCTTCATAATAACCTTGTGTTCTAAGTACTGCTCTGTCTGCTGTGGGAAAACATTACTAAGACCCAGAGAATTCAAGTGAATTGTCAACATTTACAAAAGAACCAGCACTGTCAACTCCAACCGAAGGCCTCCAATCCCTTTTTACTTCACTGTTGTGGGGGATTTGGGCTTTTACAAAATACCTCTGTGTCCAGGAGGACATGTGTGGAGTACAAAATCCACATTCCTACTTCTTGGCTCCTAGGCCTAGGTCCAGGGACATTAAGGAGTTTGTATATTTGGGTTCAGAGGTGAAACGGTGATTTGAATTCACATGTTGCCTTCCCCTGCTGGGTCTGCTCTCACTTCCTGGACATGCTTGGACACGCAGGTGGACAGCCTTCTCCCCTCCAGCTGCCCAACAGACAACGGGCTGCACTGTTTTTCTTTGTCAGTTGAGCTCGGTCTTCCCTGCCTTCCTCTCCCCTTGAACTGAGGTCTTGTGCCAAGGCACTTCCTGCCTTCAGCTGCTCCACGGGAGTTCAGAGCGGGAAGCTGTGGAGAGGTCAGATGTGGCTCAGAAGAGCGTAAGCTGTTTGGAAAAAGAACGTTTTGATTTCAGCTTATTTAAAAAACATAATTAGGAATTGGAAAAAACAACAGAGTGCGTTTTATTTTGTTCTCTCCCCACTCCTTTGCACGTTTGGAGGCCTCTGGCTTCCCCTTACCTAGGCTGCGGTGCTAAAAGGTAGGCCCCGACCTATGAAAACATTAGACCTGGACCTTATGTGTTCACCAACAGCATTGCCCTCCATTCTTCATCTGCTTGTTTTTGTTTTGCTCTTAGAAAGGATAATTTAGCAAAGATATTTAGGTTCCTGTTCCATGTGTATATTTTACCAGGGCTGGAAGCAATTTTGCAAATGTAATTTTGGTATTTTGTAAAAGTGCTTAGGAGACTTGGATATGTTCACCCCGCCCCCCTTCCCCAGTCCCTTCATTTTGTTCCAAGAGAAAAATACTGAAGCAACACTGGGCAGGATGTCCTTCCAGCTGCCTAGAAGGTGTGTGCAGGCAGGTTTGGGGTGCCCGCTGTGTACCAGGCACTGGATCTAGCCTATACCAAAACATTTGCTTCTTTTAGTGGCCTTATGAGATGGGTCTTGCTGATCTTGTTTGTGGAAACAAATAAACTTGAATCTGAGAAGTTAAAGAACAACATTTTACAGCCAGTAAGACATAGAAAAGGCACTTGAGGGGTGGCCTTCCCATCCAGCTCCAATGCATCTTATTATATTTGCTACAAGAGACTGAAAATAAACCTCTTCAGAAAAACATGTAGAATGTAGAGAGTATAAACCTCTTGGCCCTCATTTCAATCCCACCTGAAGGAGAAGAGACTTGCCCTTCAGATCTGCTTTAACGATTGAGATGTTTCCATGCTCTCTCCTGGCCCAGAGTACTCCACTCTGTGGCTCCTGTCCAGCTGTGGTTACAGCAAGGAATCTGTGCAAAGGACGACTGCGTGAGGAGTATTTTCATTGAAGATTTATCTGCATCTATCTACGGGAGGAAAAGTTGTAGTGCCTTCATATTGCTGGAAAGAATGAAGGAGAGAAAGAAGCCAAAAAGGGAGGGGGGGAGAGAGAGAGAGAGACAGAGAGAGAGAGACAGAGAGAGAGAGACAGAGAGAGACTGCTTAGCCCCTGTTTCCTAAGTATATTATTACATGCTTCGCCTCTGGTCACACACATATCACAGGCTACAGGCTCTTAGGAACTCTTGGAAAAATGCACACCTTGAACATGCACTACTCGTAGACATGTACATGTACATGTCCGCACACACAGTGCTCCTTTAACCTCTAAGGTTATCTTGCCCTAAAACAAGCTCTGAAACACAAGTCTGAAAATGATAGCAATGTTCTTTTTCAGTGTTTGTTTTCTGTGATGTTACAAGGAAATCCTGGTCCTTCTAAAATCCCATGGACAAAGCTTTCTCAAGGAAGTTTGAAGTTTGATGCTTGAGAGAGGGTGGAAATCCTGCAATCAGTCAGGGAAGCCCTTCAACCCTCCCCAGTGCTTTTATGTTAGGCTTCAGGAAGTGCTAGAGTTGGGCATGGATCCTGTGCCCCCCCTACCCCAGAGTGTACCCAGTGCTTTTGCTTATAGCCTGTGATCTGCAACTTCCCTGGAGCATTGGGGAGAATCACATGTGAGCCAGCTGGGTGCAGTGCTGACAATGTTTGTCTCTGGAATCAGACAGATGTGGAATCGACTCTGGGCTGTGGAGCTAGGAGTGAGATGATTCAGCCTTAGTGTGAAGTGGAGACTGTCACATCTGATTTATCTCTGGAGAGGCTGCCACTTTTTCCATCTGTCAAATCAAAGAGTGGGATTTGATGCTGTCTACTTATCTCACTCTGTGTTGTCTACTTTAAAGAAATGTGAGCTGTTCTATGTGTTGAAAAAGAGGAAAGGAGGTCATAAGGGCCAAACTTGGGCCCATGTAACCATGGAGTTTGAAGATAGGGCCCAACTAGGAACACCAGACAGCCCACTCCAGGCCCGTCAGCTGCAGCCACCATCAGCAGCCTCCATAGCTTTGAAGGGCATTCCAGATTGGGTTTGGGTTTGGATTTGTAAAACGGGTGGCTTGGGAAAACCGTGGCCCAAACACCAAATTATCTCTGGGCACAGAAGCTTAAGGATGAGGTTAAGGCTTGTTAGAGATTAATGCAAATTCTAATAGGAAAAACCCCATAGCACATATGAGCACATGCTATGCCTCCTACTCTGGGCCTTGGTCTACACTCCAGTGGACCACATCACCCCAGGGGACCACATATGGCTTTGGTCCTGTGCCTCCCTAGTCAGGGAATGAGTATGACGTAGCTATTTGGATAAAATGCCAATACAGAGGCAGACACCAGTTTATGCCGCACACCTGGTATCTCCACTGTGGTGCCAGGTTCTTTGCTACCCTCTGGGGCCACGGAGATGCCTCAGACTCAGGCCTTTCCCACAAGAAACTCACTGTTCAGCATTTGGCAAATATTAAATAATGAGTGACTGTTCTGCCCAAGTGCCATGATGGGGTGATGGGGTGGGAAGATGGAGTTTACTAAGGCATGCTCACAGTGCTTAGAGAGTTCAGAGAGAGATGCAGGTAGACGGTGATAACAGCATGGCACATTGTGCAGGGTAGGGAGAGGAGTAAGTTATTGTAGCTACTCAGAATTGTGGCGGCCAAGCTGGAGAGAGGGTTTCAAAGGTAAGGAAGAGTCCCAGTGGGCTTCGTTATGTGAAAATCGAACGAGCTGGAATAACTCCCTGTGTGTGGATGACTTGGGGGAGTGGTAGGCAGTCAGTTCAGTACTGCTTGGTGACTGTAAGGCAGTAGGGAGTGAAGGGCACACAGAGTCCCAGTGGGCTTCGTTATGTGAAAATCGAACGAGCTGGAATAACTCCCTGTGTGGATGACTTGGGGGAGTGGTAGGCAGTCAGTTCAGTACTGCTTGGTGACTGTAAGGCAGTAGGGAGTGAAGGGCACACTTGACAGTTTGTCACTAACCTCTGCCATCCATCAGCCCCAGCTCTTCATTTTGCAACTCATATTAGGCTGAAGGAGGTTTGTGTTGAGGCCTCTCTGGAAATTTCACTTTGCCTTTTGCCTTGTTCAGGTCCATTTTCAGAGTAGCCCTCTCTGACTACCCTGTTTAATAGTGTTGGTCTCACCCACCATTACTGGTCCTTCCTATCCCCCTCCACCTCCTTACTAAGTATGTAGTGAGTGTTTGATGAATGAATGAGTGTTGAAGGAATCCCAGGTCATTCTCCAGTTAAAAGTCCTGCTCCTTCAATCGGAACTTTCTTTTGCTTCCTACTCGTGGACTTGCTAGATCACTAAGAGCCATGTGATATAGGGTCAACCTTTCTGCCTCTTTGTTGAACCCTCTACCCACCGGCTTGTTCTGTGTTGCTCCGTGAGAACTGTTTATATGTCGGAGGAGTTATTGGGTACCAGGGAAACAAGAAAGCGGCTGACCTCTCACAACCATGTTCTCCAGGCTGTGGTTGTTAGTCATTGAGGTTTTGTTCAATATGTTTGGAATCCCAGAGTGTAGGGTCTGGGGTGCCCATGAGGCGTGCCCGCAGATCCTGGTAGGATATGTTCCAACCTCTTGTAGGAACATGATTGCTGTTTCTGAGTGGAGGGTGGGGATGTAAACCACTCTACCAGATGTTTTTCCTCCCTGCCTCATCCTATCATCTGTCCTTTCACCCATCCCTGCATCTCTCTATCCGTCATCCACCCATTCATTTCTGAGTACTTGTTGTGTGCCAGATCCTGGATATGTGGGCAACCAGAAGCACTGGAAAAGCGCATCATTTTGTGAAGAGAAACCAGAAAAGCAGATTGTTGTGGCCGAGTTAGAGAAGTTCCCCAGTTTGGAGTAGGAGTAGGTGGAGTGCAGAGGAAAGAACTGCGGGCAGCATAGGTCAGCTCAGAGGCTCCCTTTGCTAAGACCAAACCAGTGTCTTCCACTCTGCCTCTTTAGGAAGCTCTTGTTGAGATATGGGCATTTGTAGGCATGTGTGGCAGGTGCGGTAGAGGCGCCTGAAGCTCCAGATATTCTGGAGGTTATCCCAGATGAGAGCTACTTCATCCCCTGGAATGACTTCTTTTCTCCAAAGACTG